AGACTCCACAGACTGTCTGATGTCTCCTGCTCCACAGGGGGCCTCATGGCTCAGATCACATGGTGCTCCTCTGGACTCACTTATTAAAGGCTGCAGCTCAAAGACACTCAGAGCCTCACATCTCTCCTACAGTATGAGTTGTCCACATCACTCTCTATTCATGCTGACAGAGGGGAGCCACCAGCCATAAATGAGTCAATAAATAAACAGCACATTTATTCTTTTATTTGTATGGTTATTTTGTATTCAGTTTCAGCCCCAATCAATAATTTTTGGGGGGATTTTCAAGTAAAAGCCAACAATGTATCTGGGAGAGATGTTAGTTGGTGGCTACTTTGAGTCACTTGGTAAAACAGTTGACTTTGACCAAACTGGCTGTCATTGGACTTTATTTAATGAACACGATGATGAGTCATGCTATACACAATCAGGCTGATGGTTCTTGCCTATTTCATTATTATAACACAAACTATTATTTTATGTGTGAACGTGATAACAAATAAACAATATTTAATTCTTGAAATATCACGGTTTATCCTCCTAACAGTACATTGCAACATCACTAGATGGTAATTAAAAGTAGCCCTGGAGATTCTTTACTTTTCAGATGTTTTTAGTGAAGGCATGCTCACGATCCCACCACGCCTGGCTCTGACTCACACACCTCGGTACAAGGAGTAACAGCGCTGCTTCACAAAAAAGCAGAATTAAAAAAACAATACATCTAAGATCTAGCACTGAGGCTTGCAGTGTGAATGTAATTTGTTCTGGAAGTGAACCCTGAGGTGGCACAGCTCTTACAACACCGTACGTACTCTTAGCATAATTTAAACATATTTTTTAAATTCTTTCATATTACAGTCTCCCTCACACCGTCCCTGTACCCCTACAGGAAATGTAATGTGCAGAACACATTTCATCAGGAGTTGGTAACTCTTCAGAGTCAGAGGTCTTCTGCAGTCATCCCAGATTATGGTCATCCACCCATCCAATACAGTGTGGTGTGTGTGTGGTTTGTGTGGTTGTGTGTGTGTGTGTGTGTGGTTGTGTGTGTGTTGGTGTGTGTGTGTGTGTGTGTTGGTGTGTTGTTGTGGTGTGTGTGTGTGTGTGTGTGTGTGTGTGTGTGTGTGTGTGTGTGTGTGTGTGTGTGTGTGTGTGTGTGTGTGTGTGCAATCCACAGATTTACTTGCAGTAATGCACATCCTGGATATATATAATTGCATCCCTGTGATGCAGTGACAGAGAATGTGTGACCCTGTACGGCTTCACTCCGAGATAAATTAAATTCATATCAAGTGGTCCTCAAACACATATGACGAGATATTAGAGGGAAGAAGCGGGATTGTGTCCCTGCCATTGATGATTCAGTGTCCCTGTAACTACAACATAAATTCCCCTCACAGCCAGTGATTAGTTGGGGAACAGTTGGTGAGCCATGCTGCATATGGCTGTGATGAAGCAGCACGAGGCTCTGCTAGCTGCTCATCACAGTAGTTTTAAGTAGAGAAATTCTGACATGAGAAGGGATCAAACGGCGCATAAAATCTACATCAATAGAACAGGGACACAAAAAGAGAAAAAAGAGCAGCCTCCTCTGCTGTAAATTCACAGCATGCACCAGTCTTTGTGCCGGCACAGGTTAATGTGCGGGCAAACGAATCCTATTGATGTGTGATTTGATGCGCTACTCAGAGGTGAGATGGAGAGATTGATCTGAGAGTGAAAGACAGCATGAGGGGAAGTGGGTAAACACTCAGGTTTGGACAGAAAAAAAATACTCCTCTCTGTCAACCAGCCCCTCTGAGGGTGACATTACTGTTCCCATGGCAACACAGCTGATTGCAGGAAAAATTGCTGTGGTTGTGGGTGCCATGGCAACACATTACATTATGCTGGTGTTAAGACCCTCCTTGCATGTGTCCCTATGTTGCCGTTTTGCGTAATGCTTACACATGTCAACTCCGTAGAGGCCGCTACTGGTCACAGAAGTCTCCATGTCGACAACAAGTTGGACCTCCTGAGCCTCCACACACACACACACACACACACACACACACACACACACACACACACACACACACACACACACACACCACACACACACACACACACACCACACACACCGCCTTGATCTGTTCGGTTTCCTATTCACACCGAGATTATGTTTGGGAGGCTAATCCCATGTTACACACACATTATAGCACTTACAGTGTGCCAGCCAGTGTGCAGCAATAGGCATTTCATGGAAGCTTGAGGCACATTATTGACTTTCTCAAAGCGTGTGTGAGGCGAGATATAAATATAGTCAAAGACACTCCAGATAGAGTTACTGAATGTCCTAGTAGGAGGTACTTGCGATAAAATCTTGGGTACGTTTCAGGTCGGCTGCTCATCTGAATAGTTTAATTGTCTTTTTTTCACACTGTTGACTTGGCTGGAGATGATGGTGGGTACATTTGACACACTGACATACGCAGCCCCTCACTCCTGAAATCAGACAAGATATTTATTTATCCGGTGGATTGTTTCAGAGGCAGAGCGTCTCCATGGGGATTGCAGCCCACAGATCAGGACGGGGAAGAGTGCGGGAAGGAGGCGGCAGCGAGAAAGCGAGATGATTTAAGCTTATCTGCCACTGCTGTACACTTGTTGACACACATATATGATTGTGTATTCATACAGGCGGGTAATACTCTCTCCTACACCTCTCACTGCTCTCTCTCTCTCTCTACTCTCTCTCTGCTGTCTCTCGCGCTCTCTCTCTATCTCCTCTCTCTCCTTCTCTCTCTCTCTCTCTCTCTCTTCTCTCTCTCTGACTGACACAGCTCCCTCTGCTCCTTCTTTATGTTTATGAGTCTATCAGGTACAATTTTTTGTTGGCCACCTATCAAAGATGACCAAGCATCTTGTGCCGTACTAAAGGCTAACTAAGCAACTTAATAACCTTTACAACGTTGGAGTTTGATCAATGCAGAGAACACCAACATCCAAAGCCGTGTCCGGCCTACTTATATTAGTATTAAAGAAGGCCCTAGTATTCTCATTTTCAGGTTCATATTTGTATGAAATTCAGTTTACATGCTTTAATTTAAAAAAAGGTATTTATTTCTCTTCATACTGCCTGTGCTGCAGCTCCTCTTTTCACCCTCTGTCTGAAACCAGAGCCCAGTCTGCTCTGATGGTTAGCTGGTCGGGCTCTGTTGTGATTGGTCAACTGCTTAGAACCCTTAGCCTTAGGGGGGGGGAGAGAAACTCCCTTTGAAAGGAACTCAGGGTTCAGCCTTTGCAGACCATTTGCATTCACACAAAACTACAGGAAAGGGAAAACCAAAAAAGCAAAATAGGGCATTTTAAAAGTAGTATAATAGTAGGAGTAGTACATAATTTTCAACATGTAAACTAATAAAATATAACAGCTTTCCACTCTATTGATCCACATACAGATCTCGTATTGTGTCTCAAAATACATCACAAAACAAAGACAAATAATAAAACAATGAAAAACATATTTAAAAATCAAGGAAACTGAAAAGTGTTGTGAAGAACAAAAGGAAGTAAATGTTCTAATAAAGTACCAAGATTTATATTTCCACACAAAGATACATAAAAAAACACTCAAAAATAAAATACATATAAATATATGAAATGTAAAGAGATAAATCCAGTCAGATATTATACATATATGCAGATATTATTTATATAACCACATCTGATAAAAGAATATTACTAGTTTTTCACAACTGAATATTTGACCTGGCACATGAGTCATTGAAAAGACCAGCTGTGTATGGTGTTTTTGAATATATAAGATAGGGTCCCTGATTTTATGTGTCTGTTTCCTCTTCTCTTCAGTGGGAGGGACTGTTTTAACCGTGAGCTTGTTAGCCTCATGTCTTAGAAAATAATCAGAATCAGAAATCCTTTATTTGTAAAAAAACTGAGAGGAAAAAAGAATATGTATAAAAATAATGGTGAAATTGCAGTTGGTTATATTGCACAAAGTTGTATACTTACAGACAGTGTTATTGCACAACAGGGGTTTTCCAGTCCAGTCTATGTGTGTGGGGGTCTACTAGGGGCCGTGGTGGTGGTGCAGTCTGACCGCTGCAGCAAGGAAGGACCTGCGTTATCTCTCTGCGAGACACAGCGGGTGAAGCAGCCTGTCGCTGAAGGAGCTGCATCTTATCCTGTGATCACAGATGTGTTTGGTCTAGCGTTGAAGCGCTCTTTAACCCTGTTCTCAGCAGCCAGTCTGGTCGGCTGAAAATAAAGTTCCCATAAACTAAACTTCAATTTAATTTTGAAACGTTTCCAGGTGATGGCTGGTTTATTTTCGGTGTGAAAGCAATAGTCAATGTTGACTTATTGTGGATTACGTCTGTAACTTTAATAATGTTTAAATTGAATCATAATGGTTATAATTTTAGTTGTTTGGGAACATCATTTTATGGGACAGGTTTCCATGCAGGAGCAGCAGCAGCAGCAGAACAACTCTAAAAACAAAAGCACAAACTTTACCTGCTCAGCACCAAACAGCAAACACAGTTAGAAACTAGCTGGTGAACATTGGCGAGTGGAACATTAGCAGTTATATTATTATAAATAGTCAAAAGTTTCAGTCAGCAGAACAAATCGGAGCTAACAAAGTCATAATTTGACTTTTAAACAGTAGTATGAATGGTAGTGTTTCTGCTGGGTGTGTAAATAAGCAGCTGTTTGTTAACAACAAATACATTAGTGATAGTATGTCAATAATATGTTGTTTACAGATTGTTGCGTTGCTGTTGGGAACATTTATATATTTCACCACAATTTTGAGTATTTGTGGGAGATTTCAATGATGTTTCTTATCCATTATTTATTTGTAATGTTGTGGGTAATAAATAATGTTAAGAGGCTCAACCCACTTGATTTCAGATCATAAGACAGATCATCTTCCATCATATTTCTGACTTGTATATTCTAATGTTATATTTATATTTTCCAATTGTCGTTCTCAGGTACCTCATGAATGTGACATTTGAAGGCAGAAACCTGTCATTTAGCGAAAAGGGTCACCAGATGTTTCCCAAACTGGTCATCATTCTTCTCGACAAGGACAGACAATGGGACAGGGTGAGTAACTCTTCTTCTTTTCTTCTTCTTCTTCTTCTTCTTCTTCTTCTTCTTCTTCTTCTTCTTCTTCTTCTTCTTCTTCTTCTTCTTCTTCTTCTTCCTTCTTCCCCCTTCTTCTTCTTCCTTCTTCTTCTTCTTCTTCTTCTTCTTCTTCTTCTTCTTCTTCTTCTTCTTCTTCTTCTTCTTCTTCTTCTTCTTCTTCTTCTTCTTCTTCTTCTTCTTCTTCTCTCTTTTTGGTTTCATTTCCTTCTCTTCTCCTTCTCATCTTCTCCTCACCTCTTCTTCTCCTTCTACCTATGTTGCAAATGTATTATCTTTTCAATTTACACACGGCATCTATTGCACGTATGTCCGTCCTGGGAGAGGGATCCCTCCTCTGTTGCTCTCCCCTGAGGGTTTCTCCCATTTTTCCCTTTAAAACTGTGGGTTTTTCTCCGGAAGTTTTTTTCTTGTCCGACTGTGAGGGTCTAAGGACAGAGGGTGTCGTATTGTCATACTGATATTCTGTACACACTGTGAAGACCACTGAGACAAATGTAACATTTGTGATATTGGGCTATATAAATAAACATTGATTGATTGATTCTCCTCTCTTCCTAACTTGCCTTCTTGTCCTCTTCTCTGCTTCTTCTTCTCTCCTAGTGTCAACCTCCTCCTGCACCTTCTCTCTTCCTCTAAACTATCTCCTCTCTTTTCCCCCTGCTTGGTATTTTGCCCCTCTGTGTTGTGTCTGTCACTTCTTCACTTGAAGTGTCTCTCTGCCACTTGAAGTCCCTGTTACAGTAGCCCGTAATTAATCGCAGTGTCTCCCTCCCACTCTCACATGCAGGTTGGCAAGTGGGAGAGAGGCTCCCTGACGATGAGGTACCATGTGTGGCCTCGCTTCGAGGAGGAGCGGGAGGACCACCTGTCCATCGTGACTCTGGAGGAGGCGCCGTTTGTGATTGTAGAGGACGTGGACCCGCTCAGTGGGACCTGCATGAGGAACACTGTGCCGTGCCGAAAACAGCTAAAACTAACGTGAGAATTAAGACATGATAAACTAAAGTGTGTTGGTTTTTTTCCCCCTTTTCTTCCTAAAGACATACAGTTTGTGTGTCTGGATTTGTTTTACTATGTGAATGCATTATGCATATTTATGCATTGCATAAGTGCTAATAATTGAACACTTTTTCTTTATGAAACTAAGAGTGTTAAACATATACAGTACATTATAATCAAAATGGCTGCAATATGAATTTCTGGTATACCCGGTTTTATTTTTAAAGTTGCAAATCACTAGTATAAAAAACACAAAAAACACAAAAGCTGCTTAAGTACTCTAACATAATAATGATGTAAACTGTTAATATAACCAAAGGATAATACAAAAATAAAACAATGTTATAATAAAACTTGCCTGTAAAGATGGAGGTGAATGCTCACATCCATGATTTATTTGACATTTTTCTTGAATGTTCCCTTTTTTTGTGTGTCTTATGTTTATTTGCTTATTATTTTCTGTCACTGCTGAATGCTGTAGAGATTTTCCTTTATTTTCTTTCCTTGATTTAGAACAATTGAAGCATTTTCCTCGTCACACAATCTCCCGGTGTCCTTTGATTACCTCTACCTGCTTCAGTTCTGCTAATTAGATCATTGTCTTTGTCTCTGTCGGTGATGTCCTCCCTCCCTGCCTCTTCACCATCTTGCTATCCACTTCTCCTTGGTGTGCAATAATGGATTGTTTTTCAATGGCCTCCTTTCCCATCACTGGCCTACCTGAAACCTCCTGAGGTTGTCCTACATTTCTGGCTCAGTGCTTTTCTTATTGACTGATCTTCCACCCCGTTCTTTCTCCTATTGCCCCTTTCGCCTTCTCTCAATCCGTCCGTCTCTTCCATCAGACATTTCATGACATACAGTATTTCAGGAAAAGACAGAAATATGCCACAGTCAATATGTAGGATTTCTCTCAATGAAAAATACTCCATGAGCCAGATGTACAGGGTTTTGCAGATTTTTATTTAGAAGACCAAACTTTATCATTTGATCTAAAACAAGATTTCTCAATGCATTGAAAAATGTACATGCAACAGCCCAGGATGAAACCAAATCCCAAAGATCTTCCCAAGTTTATCCTCAAATATGACAAAGAGAAGCAGCATATACTCACATTTGAGAAGCTGCAACCAGGAAATGTTTGGCCTGGTGGCAAAAAACTACGAAAAGTAACCAATAAATGTTTTGAACATTTATGTTTTCATTGAGCAGTACCTGGTGTTTTTATTGTATGCCTTAACATAGACCCCATGTTCTCGGGTTACTTTTAGTCCATATTTTTTTCTTGAATGAAATATCTCAAAAACATTTAAGGGAATTTATTAAATTTGGAACAAATGTCAACTTGCACTCTAGGCTGAACTGATTAGATTTTGTTGGTCAAAGGTCATTGTGAGCTCACACGGCACAATTTGGGCCTCAAGAATTCATATGCTTATAAACGGGATTCACAAAATGTGTACAAGGGATGACATTTTGGACAGACATGGATAGGGAATAGTTGATGGAGGTATTAATAAGAAACTGAGGGGAGTTTGTGGGAGGGAAAACCTGCACAATCCAGACACATGTTTTATTTCACTTTTATTTAATCTCATCCCTGCTTATTTCCTCTCTCTTTTACATCTGCTAGTTTGATTAACTTGAACCCAAATAAACTGTACTTCCTCTTCCCCTACCTTTACTCCCTCCCTTCCTCTTCCTCCAGCAATCAGACGGGGGATTCGGGGATTTACATCAAGCGCTGCTGCAAAGGTTTCTGTATCGACATCCTGAAGAAGATCGCCAAGGCGGTCAAGTTCACCTACGACCTCTACCTGGTCACCAACGGCAAACATGGCAAGAAGGTTAATGGGACATGGAATGGCATGGTTGGGGAGGTAAGGCCTTTATTTTACTCACAATCATACACATGTTATGCATGAATTGAATTGCAAGAGCACTTTACCTAAACTGTAATTATATTAAATTATTTTTAACTGACTTCCATCGTAAGTAGCATAGTATTTTTGTAAATTTGCCTTGACTGCAGGTCTTTTTCAGCATTGGCAAACATTGAACTCACCATCGTGGGTGGTTTAAGTATTCCTACCACCATTTACTGTGAGTACACATTTTCTTGAAGCTTAGTGCGTTCAGTATGCCTCCCTGAGGACATGCAACAGTATTTATAATAACACAGTGAAACAAGTAATTATAAAACTTAGTCCGCTTCGGATGGTAGGGGTCAAATTTAACATCTGCTATTTTTTTGTGTAAGAAACCGTTGCGATTTCAGAGTATAGCTGAGAATTTGGTTACCGAGCTTTGCTTTGTCTTAGCATGTGTTAATATTCCCTGATGGAGGTCCTTTTAAAAATTGTAACTCTGAAATGTAAAATGAATAACTCAATTTGGACCACTCGAATACTGGCTTCACAAATATGAACCAAAACAAAATGTGGCCATTGAAACTAAAATGCAGTGTTACCTTTCTGTTCATAAACCCATCATAACACACCAACACTGAATCTAATGCTGGATGAAAAATGCAGCAGTTATAGATGAATCATTCTTAAATCATTACATTTTTTACATGTATTCATTCAACTTTATGTTTACTTATTTAATGTTTGTAGTATGTTTGATGTTTTTTCCGTCTCCTTGCCTTACCTCTTAACATCGCTGCTCTTATAGCAGTTTGTGATTCACTATTATTTTTATAATGTGTAAATCAATGCACACATTACCCATTTATTTTTAAAATAAAATAAAAAAGCAAGTAACTATATCGTTTAATAATAATGCTAACTCTACTGCAACTGGGTTTTGGAGCCCCGAGGAATTTATTTTGATGATAGGTCTAATTATATACTGTCTGAATGTCTCCTCCTCAATGTCTCTTTCCGCCATCAGGCTGCACTTGTTCCCCATATGTTGGCCTGAGGGGGGGGGGGGGGCTGTGATCAGCTCTGCAAATCCTGAGGAGGAGAGCAATGAGGCTCCTAATCAGAGATGGAGAAAGAAAGAGACGTTGAGGAAGAGATTGGAAGAGAGAAGGAGAGAGAGGAAACAGCCTCAGGGAAAAACCCTGCTCTCTTGAACACATCAGCACAATGCAGTCTTCACAAATCAATGTGATGTCCATTTGAATTGATAATGGCATAAAACAAGCAACTTTACTATTATCATCTTAGGAACGTATTCAAGTTAATATGTGCAGGGCAATATAATAACTTTACAAACTGCATATATATATTTTTGTTTTGATAGCAAATGTGCAGTGCCTGCATGCATTGGTGCATTAGTCCATGTCCTGAAATGCCTAAGCAAACAGCTAACTATTGTGTTTGGAGGTGGGGGGGGGGGGGGGGGGGTAAGCGCAGGAAACCGAAAGTGAGAACATAAAGAAAGCCTTCATGAAGAAGTGTGACAAACATAGAAAGAAAAAACTGAGCGTAGAATGTCTGCTCACTCTGGCATACTGTACATACTGAATATATCCCTTATTAACACAGTCTTTTGTGCTCCCTGTAATAAATGGCTCGAGGCTCCAGCTACCTATGGCTAAATATACCTTAAACACACTCAGATGGAAGCTGGGGTTGGTTGGGAGTCAAAGACCGACCTAGTGTAGTAATGATCCCCTTCTCCTGCTGCTCCCATTATACCAAAATAGCATATTAAATACTTGGCAAAGTCGGTGGCTTGTACCACAGCCTATTAGGGTCGTTGTGGGTGAACATAAATGAAAAGGAGATGAGGTAATGGGGAGCATTCAGAGAAAAAATTACAACTGTGATATTTGATCATTTAAAGTGGTATATTCAGGAGAAGAATACTTACATCTTCACAAGTTTAAAACCTTCCCGAGATGATAAAGTCATACATTTGCGTAAAAGATTATCAGAACTGTGGCACAAAGGCACAAATCTGTGTGTTTTATGCGTGGATGATAAAATTATACTTTGCAATTATATATAGCAATGAGGAAATTATTGTTATTTCAGCCCAGAATCAACACATCTTGAGACATTGTCGTGATTTGAGCCTATCCAGAAGATAATAATGTACTGGTCTAGAAAGTTGATTAACGCCATGTTTCATACTGTTGCACTGTTTCGCTACGATTTGTGACTTTAAACTAAGAAATGTGGTTTTTATCCTCTAAATAGAACCCCCTTCCCCCTGGCCCCTCTACTATATATGTATGGCTGCTATATGGATTGTTTATGGACTGCAGCACTGAATGACTTTCACATCTCCCTCTGTTTTAACCGCGATTCTAGGGAAATTGAGCACTGACCTTCTACGTTTCCCCCCGTCTGTCTCTGTGTGTCTGTGGCTGACCTTCAGGTGGTGTTGAAGAATGCTCACATGGCAGTGGGTTCGCTCACTATTAACGAGGAGAGGTCACAGGTCATCGACTTCTCTGTGCCTTTCATTGAGACGGGCATCAGTGTCATGGTCTCCCGTAGCAACGGCACCGTGTCCCCCTCCGCCTTTCTCGGTGAGGAAAAAAAACACACCTGGTACTTTTGGCAGATGAACCACACAATTGAGAGAACAATTACACACACACACTCATATTGAATAATAAATGCCTATCACAGACCGATAACAAGCAGGTTGTTCACAAATAAGGACACTGTTTCATTGTGTTTTTCAGCAGCACAAAACAACAAGTTTGGTCATGTGGTGATATAATATGCGGTTGAAAAGTTTATATTTTTCTGTGAATATCACCAAAAACATGATCTGTACAAACTGTGCGTCAACATTATGTTGTGAAAGTGCTGTGGCTGAGATTTAAATGTCATTCTTAATCTTTATAAAGTGTAGTTCATTAATGAATCCCGCCTCAGGGTCCATTTAGTGGTTATTATGGAACATCCAATCTGAAAACAGTACAGTATAGAGAGAGGTAATTGTTAATAAAGTAAAAGAGAACATTGTTGTTAGCTATTTTTTAAGACTTATCTAAAAAATGTTCTCTTCTGTGTTAAATTAATTCAGAGAAAGTAATCTAACCTCAATGTCATGTTTCTCTTTTGGCTAGAAATCAGCACTAATCTGCTGCTTTTAGTCCTATAGAGCAGTGGTTCTCAAACTTTTTTCAATAATGTACCCCCTTTGAAAAAAAAACTCAGCCACGTACCCCCTGATCAGCGCAAAAACAATTTGTTAAGGAAAAAAAGCCTATATAAAGAGGTACAGTACAGCCTTGCACCATCAGTGTCTGATTTATTAAAACAACAACATTGTAACTGAGAAACACTTAAATGCTACATTTCAAATGTTTACAATCCATCACTAAATTCATGGCAAACCAATTTTAACATCATGCAATAACACTCAGACGACATTAGTTGCATTGAACTGATCTTTTTAATAAATTATACTTACAATGTAGTGAGAAACATGGGCTTGAGCTTCACTGAGGATCTTTGTCATTCTGACAGGGAGGCAACTGCAGTTATTACACTTCGCGTTTTGAAATATGTGTAACTCTGTTAATATAAAACCCACACTGCTCAAACTTTCTTACTTTTCCTAAAATTGATATATTTATTTATTTTGGGGCGTGGGGAATGAAGATTAAATTATTTTTTAAGATTGACAAACATCATATGTGTAATTCGTGGCACAATTCAAACGGGATCGAAAGATAAGTTTTCTCTCTCCTTTGACTTCAATACATTATTTTTCCGAAATAAGGTCCCATGGACCGGAAGTAGATGGGCGTGACTTCGCCTCTCTATGGAGCATTTCACACAAACAAATGTGTTACTTCACAGTTTTACACTTTTTTTTTTTTTTGACCTTCAAAATTATCTTTTCAATTGACAAACATCATATGTGTAATTCGTGGCACAATTCAAACGGGATCGAAAGATAATCTTTCTCTCTCCATTGACTTCAATACATAATTTTTTCGAAATAAGGTCCCATGGAGGTCCACCGGAAAGGGAGGGACTTCGCCAGGCCTCTAGTGGGCTGAAATGGGTATTACAACAACAGAAATGTTTCCTACAAATAACCTTACAACACATTTTGTATCACAGAGAAACTTATTTTTCACATGTTTTAAAAGACATACAGACAGAAGAGAAAACAATATTGATCCAATTTGGAAATGTTTTTTAAAATTGCGTCTCAGGGCTTCTGTAATAAATAGTAGGAAAAGTGGGCTTTGATACAATTAACTTTAATTGTCGATAAACACTGCTGATGAAGATGATACAGTAGAAAGCTCCAGAGCAGCCACTAAATGGAGCTTGTAATGAGATGTTTTGCTAAATAGACTGCTATGGTATTTGTCCAAGACTGCCATGTTTGTGAACATTGCAAAGCAGAGTGCAAGTGGTGGAAAATGTGCCCATTTCAATGAGTACATGTGTCCATTCGGTCCATTCACACCAATCCTCTCAGTTGCTCTGTTGATAAGTGCTTCACACAAAAGCAGACAAAATCCATCAATCTGCAACAATGCAGATACGCGGTACATAACGTCTGAATGCAAATAATCATGTTGACACCAGGGGGGGATTTTGTAATATTCTTTAATTTGGTTTAATGAACTTCCTCTCTCTGTCTTCCCACAACCCTCCCCACCTCCCCTTTTCTACTTCCTCTGCACCCTGTCCTCCCCCCTCCCTCTCTGTGTTCCAGAGCCCTTCAGTGCTGATGTCTGGGTGATGATGTTTGTGATGTTGCTGTTGGTGTCGGCCGTGGCTGTGTTTGTGTTTGAATATTTCAGCCCAGTGGGTTACAATCGCTGCCTGGCAGATGGGCGAGGTGAGAGGATTGCACACACACACACACACACACACACACACACACACACACACACACACACACACACACACACACACTGATGCACAAACGCACACATATACAAACACAATATCAAACCAGGTCAATGGATGCTCCAAAAAGATAACATTGAAGTTCAGTTACCGGGCGATCTCATCATCCACAAGGTTACAATCTGCATTCAATCTGCTAACAAATTACTCTGCCACAGTCACAGGTATTTATCTGAATGACACCTGGGTCATCAAGGTCATTTTCACACCTTTTCCTGAACAATGCTATGTGACGCATGTTGACGTGAATATAGAATAAATGCAAATCGTTTGGACATTTATTATAATTAAAGCATATCATTTATATTCCCTTTCCGTAGCCACAAGACTACAGTCACACTGTTATGGTAATAGATGATAGTAATATTATTCGCAGATGAACACACTTCATTTAAACTCAACAGAAACCATTTGAAAACGTATCAACCTGACTTGGTTCGTCTTCCAATGCTTCATCCATAACTAACTCTGTCTCAGAGTTTGACAGAGGGACTGAATAGGTCTGTGGATAGAGTGCTGGACTTTGAATCAGGGGATAGCAAGTTTGAGTCCCACTGCAGTCAGCTAGTCGTTGTGTCCCTGGGCAAGACACTTCACCCCAAATTGCTCCTGTGGGGATTGTCCACAGTACTGAATGTATGTAAGTCGCTTTGGATAAAAGCGTCTAACAAATGACATGTAATAATAATATCTGCTTTCCATTGTATACCAATCGTCCCTTCAGTGCATGCTTGATGCCCAACATGACACATTGGAAAAAGACAAAAACATGTTCTTCTCCTATAACCTTTTCAAACGGAGCTAAATTTGGTGGAAAAGATATAAGGTATTTTAGTTACCTTGAAAGCACCTTTTTGTGCAAAATGACTCTGAAAATCCCTTCTGAATGAGTGTAGCTGGGTCTGGGAGTACTTATCTCCATCTACAGTCACTTAAGCCCTTTCACTAATGAAAAGGCTCATTGACAAGAGCCAGTAGATGGATGATCTTAAGTGTTCTTACCCTCACCGTGAGAACAAAGACTGCTCTGTTCCAACCTCTTTTTTTCCACCATTCTCAAACACTACACAACGTCGTTAGACCGCCACACTCGGGGTTGTTAAACCGATGAGTACACTTAAGTAGATCTATTACCATACATTGAAAAATATGTGTCAGGTTCAATGGTGTCTGACAGTATGGAGCAACGCTACCCTGTTGAATTCAGCTCCAGCAGGACGTTCAAATCAATTTACCCATCAAAATCAATGGTTCAGATTCAATCTATTTTGTATACACCTAGCTCTGTTTGACTCAGGATTGCATTATCCTGAAACAGCCGCTCAGGATAAAACCAGAGATGTGTTATATCTGCTGCTCCCAGTCTTTTTATCAAGCAGCAGAGAGGGGGAGAGTAATGGTGTTTTGTTGGGAGTTATGTTAGTGTTTTCTGAATGACAGTGTATGCTGTGTGTGGTTTAATCGCTGGGTTATGTAAAGCCTGCTCCAGCTGTAGCATAATTGCAGCCTGCTGTTTGCTCATCATCGACGCCCCCCCCTTCTCTCTTCCTCCCTGTGTCCGCCGCCTCAGAGCTACAGTAGGTAGTATTTCCTGTCATGCCGCCGGAGAGGTAGGTGGAACAGAGGTAGTATGTAACAGTGGGTTGTCACAGCAGCGTCTGGAGGAGCGGGCGTGGACCGTACAGCACATCCTGCGATTGCTGACAAGACTAAAGGATGGGAAGAAATCCTGTCTTTGTCGGCGCCATCCATCAAGTGCATACCACCACGGCGCTCATGAGTAAATGCAGATAAAGTGAAGCAGCACCTGGGACTGATTTCTTTCACTCTCTTCCCTCTGTCGTCTTTCTTTGCACCCCTCCTCTTTTGTTTCTGTCCCAGAGCCCGGCGGTCCCTCCTTCACCATCGGAAAGGCCATCTGGTTGCTATGGGGTCTGGTTTTCAACAACTCCGTCCCTGTGCAGAACCCCAAAGGTACCACCAGTAAGATCATGGTGTCAGTGTGGGCCTTCTTCGCTGTCATCTTCCTGGCCTCCTACACTGCCAACCTGGCCGCCTTCATGATCCAAGAGGAGTATGTGGACCAGGTGTCGGGCCTGTCAGATAAAAAGGTGTGAATTGAAGGAATGTGTGGGGCTGAGGGGCGGAGGAGCAGGTGTGTGAAGTGTGTAATGTGGGGTGATGTGAGCGTGGATGGCTTTTAGTTTTCTAAAGCATTCTAAGTAAGTCAATATATAATTAGGTTTACAATTTAGGGCTGCCATAGAGATGATTTCTCCTTTTTCTATTATGTATTTCAGTTAACTTTCATTTAAACAGAGTGTGAGTCATCATTTTATTGAAAAAACTAAAAGTATTTATATAAATTGAGATGAATCGTCTAGTTCAGGGGTTCCCCATTATTATATGAGCGTCCTATAAGTAACACCACCCATAAAGTTTCAAATGTGATCATTTAAATGTATCTAAATTAAATCTAACACTCTTAGTAACATATAAAAGTTATAACAATTATTGATTAATCCGTGGATGATTGCTTAACTCTTACTCTATGAGGCACTCATTCTATCAGTGAAGCTACCTGTTGCCTCAATATATTCATCAATTTCGATTTATTTTCACGTAGAAATGTCAAAAAGTACTTACAGTGAGGACCTGCTTCTCTTCTTTTATATCTTACTTTTTTTTTGTCTTATATTATGTTAAACTAAATTAGTTTTGGACACTTTTTCACTTTACAGCCCAAACGATTAGTCGATAAATTCAATGTATCAGTAATGAAGGTAATCATCAGTTGCAGCTCTCAAATAATCTTTTCTCACTTGTATGACCTGAATGGTGGTGATTATTTTTTAACTTGATCTGTTGTACTGTACATGTTTGTCTAAATGTGTTTAGAGTCTCCCAGGTGTGTGGGTCTACTTAGCACTGTGATGCTGCTCAACGGTGCATTAACGGCTGTTTGATGCGGCTCAGCGCCTTTTTCAACGCTAACGAGGTGTCCTCTCTCATTTTCTCTGTGTGGTTTCGTTTCCGGAAAACCCCCTGCCACAGTTCCAGAATCCAAACGAATTCTCACCGCCGTTCCGGTTCGGCACGGTGCCCAACGGGAGCACAGAGCGCAACATCCGCAACAACTACCGGGACATGCACACTTACATGACCAGCTTCCACCAGAAGAACGTAGACGAAGCGCTCTACAGTCTGAAGAGCGGGTGAGGAGGAGAGAGATAAAGGGGGAGGACGGAGAGACAGATGGGGGTGGGGGGGGGAGGGAGTTGAAAGCATCTCAGCAGGGAGAAGAGAGACAGTGTGATGGAGCTGTGAGGTCCTGTACTGATGCAACACAGAGGAAAGATGATGAAGGAATAAGAGAGGGAGACAGAGGAAGAGGGAGCATTCAGGGCAATGTGGGTGGGCAGCCAGTAGAGCTGTGCATCAGCACCCAGAATAGCAGCGGAGCTTGTGGTTACTATGAAAGCTAGCTCATATTCTCCCTCTCTGCCGTGGAAACTCAGGCGGATATCTTACTGTTTCTCTCTCCCTGTCGTTGAAAAAACGTTTTTCACAAACCAGCTGCTTAAAGATTAGGAATGCAAAGCAGGGATGCACCTCTGAATGACCACAGAGGCCTTCAGAGCTCAGAGGAACAGTTTCATTGAAGTTTGTCACTAAGCTGCAGACTGTCATATCAATTTACCTTTAAAATCAGACGGGGTTGATCTGAAAAGAAAAGATACGAATTCACTGCTGCAGGAGTGAGACCTTAAATCAAGAAAAGAGATAGCATTTTTGCAACAATTACCTCGTCCCTAAGCCACTCAGATTTTAGGAGAGTTTTTTTGTTGAAGCTTGAAAAAGGGTCTGTGGTTAACACAAGCTTAATTATACACTTTATATATAAACACACAATATAATATTCACCTTTTTGCTTTATGGACTTCTATTCGTCAGTAAATACCCAACTTGTGCATTTTGAATCTTTAACGTGTCCTTAAAAAGGTTGCAAACTGGCAAAGTGGCTTACTGAGCAAATCACTCCTCCGGATTGCATTTATGCTTCAAAAATAAAATTAGTGGTGTGAAAACTTTCTTGCTGAATGAAAGATGTAATCATCATAAACATTTGTTTGCAACAGAGCATTTTTTCAGTTTTATTTGAGGGAATACTCCAGGAAACTCAGGAACAGAAGAGAATAGAATAACATGATCAGTCATTGTATCCAGAATCGATTGCACACTGACTACACTGTAAACATTTCACCTCCCAACAACTTTAGCATGCACACCGCCTCAATGCAATGTTTTGCCTATTATCCCTTAATTATTCATGGTCTCATACATTTCTTATAATTCCCTTGTAAGTTTCCGTGAAATAACTATGCAATTTGTTATTAATTATTGCTGAAACAGAGAAAGTTCAATTGTTATACTTTCAATTAATTCATTCCAATTAACTGCTAAGCCAGCGTTTCCTCGAGTGTTTGACTCGGTGCACAGCAGGTCGTCTGAACGTGCAGAAATGTGCACATGCAAGCATTCAATTCAAATTAATGGAGAGCACTCCAAAAATAATGAATGACGAATTCATTAATTTAATTTCAAGTGATGTAATAACCTTACTTTTTAAGCTCATTGGCTTTAACAAACAGTATGCTATTATCCCTGGTGTTTATTTAATTATGTTCTATTGGCTTTTAGTTTTTAAATATTTTTTAAATGTTATTGTTGTATTTTTGCCATTTAAAGCCATGCTAAATGTTATTTATTCATTTCACTTTTTGTTCCTCTCTGTAAGGCTCTTTGGGTTGCATGTTGGTAGGAAAGGGGCTCTATAAATAAATTATTTGAGTTGAGTTGAATATTTTTGGGGGGTAAACATGGAGAGGATCATGCATGGAAATGAATCCAATAACTCTTTTTAAACCAAACAAACTTAGCTGATACAACTGTCTGAATTAGATTCATAATAAGTACCATGAGACTTTCAAGAAAAATCTTCAGAAGTTTCAAAGTAAATAACAAACCCATAGAATGTTGGTGTGAAGAGTTATACATTGTGTTAATAGATGTTTAGTTTAATCAATGCTAATTTAATGTGAATAGTGATGAGGAAGTGAGGGATTTCAGACTCATTCACAAGTCCAAAATGGACACAGACTTTAAAAGTGTCTTCTAACAGCTATTCCTTTCATGGCGCTCTGTAGCAAACTTGATGCCTTCATCTACGACGCTGCAGTGCTGAACTACATGGCGGGCCGAGACGAAGGCTGTAAGCTGGTCACCATCGGCAGCGGCAAGGTGTTCGCCTCCACCGGCTACGGCATCGCCATCCAGAAAGACTCCGGCTGGAAACGAGCCGTGGATCTGGCCATCCTCATGCTGTTTGGAGACGGTGAGGAACTTTAACAGCATCTTTTATTTTAAATAAGAGGCCTCATAAAGGTCATCATTTTAAAGCTTGAGAATGAGAATGGCTTTTCTCTGTTTCTTTTAATAAAACAGATAATCAGGTTAAGCAGAGGTTTGTTTTTGATTTTAGTGTAGAAGTTGCAAAATTAGTATCATATTCATATGATTTTGTAAATAATGGATTAAATCTCCAATTAAATCCAATACTCTAGATGTTTAGGTCTGGTATCTCATGGGTGTTGTGTCCTTACATTAACACTCGGATTTTGTCCAAAAATGACAACAAAGTTTGTATTTTTTTAATACTTTTTGTGTTGTTTTTAAGAAAAAAAATGTCAGTGCCTTCATTGGAGGGACAAAGCTAAAAAGAGGACACGTTAATGGTCCCGGGTCCTCCCCAGCAAGGACTGAGCCGCCAGCCCAACAGAGTGATCTATAGGGCAGCCTAGCTGGTATTCTTAATGGTATTTTAGAGTTTACTGGTGAAAACCCAGGAACCACAGGCCTGGGAAGCTGCCGCTGCTGAAGTGAAAGCTGGAATGTGGCAGGTTGTTTATTTGGGAAATCAGGAAGTTCTGGCAGCACACTGCAAAGCCTGTTTCGGCAGGGACGGGAAATGTTGACCTTAACTAGAAGGAGCTCTGTGGACGATGTTGCAAGTGACATATTTCTTTAGAGAAACTGAACTGGCAAGGCTGAGGTTGTGGATTTAGTCATTCAACAGGAAGAACCTTAAATATATTTAGTTTTTTCCAGCTCAGTAAACAGTAAAGCATCTCAACAAGCTTTTCCAAATTGACAAGATTTGGGTTCTTTTAAAGCTTTCCGGTATGAACAGCAGGCTCATATTTAAAATCCCTTTTGTCCATAAATCCCAGTATCAGCTCATTAAAAGTGAAATTTAGACCAGAGTATTACTGTTAAACGTACTTCCTGATGCTTTGTTAGCCACCTTAGAAGAATCAGACATAAAAGCAGAAAAGCTCAGCCAAAGATTTTGAAATGTGCGTAAATAATTGAAACCCTTTTATCACTTCCAAAGGCTAATGTATGATAAGAAATAAGCTATTTAGTGTTCAGCACATGTTTTTGTAAAAATGAATACAGTATAACTGTGACAGCAGCTGATCGTTTCATCAGTATAGTGACACATGTATGTTTGACTACACAAGCGCCATAACATGTGAATATTAAACACAAGTAGTGAGATTAAATCCACAGTTTGCAGAAAGCAACACACATGATGTGTGCCTTAGTGAGCAGGTGAATTACTTTTGGTTGTGTGTTTATTTTGAGACCCAGCTGTTGTTGTGTGTTTGGTTAGTGACCGAAAGAAGCCGGCAGGGTGTCTGGCCTCAGTCGGAGAGAAAGACGAGTGCAATGATCCACGAGGACCTCAGTATCAGGCTGCTGCTCTCACTATGAGACGATGGAGCCAGTTGAGGTGGTTTGTGTCTGTTTGTCAGGATGCTCATTTGGCTCCTCTGTTTGAACAGGCTGTGGCCACAAATGACACCGAGGTCGAGGCTGATGCAGGACACACACATTTCTCATCAGTGTGCACTAATAATGTGACAATGGACCCAGGCCTCCTCCTGTCGTACAACATCTCATGACTTAAGAGTGCTGCTGCTGTGTGGGTTACATTTGTAACCATTAAACTGAACTTTAGAGATTAAAGGAGCCTGTTTAAAGACTTCTGAAACTGCTGTTCCACATATTAGAAAAAGTACAGTAGGATCTGAACATTGCAGGTCAATGTTTATCTGTGATAAAGGTTTCAATCTAAAAGCTGGTTATTGAAACATTTGAAATTGTTGTACAGGAAATTCTGTAAGAGAAAAAGGTCCACTTACTTAAAGGAATGATTCACCTCAAGTTGACCATTTGTTTATCAATTATTCAACCGGTGCTACCTTTAATTCTTGAAGGAAACTACATTTGTCTTGCACGCCTCCATGATTGTCTGAGATTCAAAAAAATTATTTTAAGTTTTGATGAATTGTCAGGCTGGCTTTCCATCTTTAAGTCTACCAACTGCTTGTCTGCTATTTGTCGATTCATACATTTGTTTTCACCATTTTTCTATTTGTTGTTCATTGTAGCTGGCAGTAATGTTTTCCTCAAGCCTTTTAGGTAGAACTGTCTGAGTTACAGTAGGTGTTTGTGGATCAACAAACATATTTATTTTTTTAAGGCTGTTTCCTCAGGATTAAAAAAAACAGTATTTACTCCATATATGACACCTTCTATGTGTCTAGATATTAATTGTTTCCATGACAACTAAGCACCCCCATCTGTTTGTGAACGCAGCATGATGTGTTTTAGAAAAAAACAAAACAAGTTGTCTGTCAAACTTTTATAATATTGATTCTTTTAATTATGTTTGTTACTATACTGTAGGTTTACCAAAGTACCAATGTAGCAAAAGATATGTTTAAAAAAAAAAGTTCTCAAAAAAAGCTCAGGCTTAGGGGCCATTTTTCATAAATTTGCAATAAATTAGTCAATTTATCAGAATAGAAGAAGAATAACTTAAGGGATTTGGTTAGAAAATGATGTCTCTGCTCCTCTGCTTGTCCCATGTCCAAAAGGACCCTGGTGCTAGAGAGTGAGAGAAGATGGTGAATCGCATATTTCTTGTTATCTGACAAGTAAGATAACTCAAAGGCATCAAATATCCTATTGTATTACAGTATTTCTCGTACTTCCTACCTGCTGGAAAGGGCTAAGGTTTTGTGGGCAACAGCGAAGTGCGATAAAAGATTTGAGTATGCATCACCAGCTATTTTTTATTTTGTGTTTCAGGAGTTTCAGCTTCATGTTAAATAAATGATTGTTCCTTTGGAGAGTACACCTAAGGTCTAGGGGACCTGGAGACAATAACATACAACCAATACAAAATGAGGGAGTCAGCGTAACAGTTTACAAAAGGTTTATTTTGTAAACCCAGAACCGAACAGACATATAACTGAAACCTTAGTTGGTGAGGAGGAGGAGGAGTCAAAGGATTGCGCCAAACAAAAGAAACAAGCATAACAAAACCAGGCCTATCTCTACATCTATCCTTTGAAACCAAAACTCAAACAAAAACCCTCACTAACTAAACTACGAAGAAGTTGACAAAACAATATACAGGGGTGGCAACAATCCGCTAACCTAGTGTGTCTAAACAAAAAGGTCAGACAATACAAGGAGCATGAGTTGCTAAACACTGCAGTCAATTGCAGGCTCCTCAATCAGCAACAGGCCCAGAGTGAGAGAGCGAGAAGACTTCCTGGGTGCCTCCTTTATGGTCGGCCCTGGCTGCTGATAGGCCAGCTGAGGGTGAGAGGATCCAATCAGCCATCAGACTCAGGTGCACAGGCAGATACCGATCAGCTGCTGATTAGCTGTGCAGAAGACAGGGAGAAGAGAGAAACACAGGAGGGAAGGAAAACCACACAAGTACAGCCTGCCTGGCACGTAACACCCCCACACATATAAATCCAAACAGTATGTTTGGACCTGACAATAAACATTTACAAAGCAAATAATTTCCTGGTTATCAGGAAGATGAGACAAGTAATTGGGCAAATCAGGCAATACCTCAGTATTGCTTAGTCTTGCCCCCTGTGGTGTTGCACTGCGCATCACCAACTCATCCTCATCCTCATTTGAGCTCACCTTTGAAACTGAAGCCATAGGAGAGACGGTTGTCTCCACCTGGTGAGCTTTAGAAGACTCACTTTGGTCATCCCTGGTGCAGTACTTCTTCTTTTTAGTTTTAGGCAAGGGTACCACACAATCCACAATCACCCTTTCAAATGGCTCTCCCATTACTGGAATAGGAATGAGAGGAGCAGGGTGAATCACCTGATTCGGTTTACCAACAACTTGGCACACATGACATGTTCGACAATAAATAACTACATCAGACTTAAGTCCTGGCCAAAAGAAGTGTTTTAAAACTCTTTCATACGTTTTTGTTACCCCCATGTGACCTGACCACGGATGATCATAAGCCAAGGACATCACCTGAGAACGATAGGCTGTTGGCACAACAACCTGATAAAGTGCAAAGGAGTCTGACTCCTCACAGGCATCACTAATCCAGCGACGCATTAATAGGCCATCTTCCATAATGTAGGCCATCTTCTTTGACTTGGCCTCTTCCTGACTGATAACAGAAGAGAGACATTTAGAAATTGTTTCATTCTTCCCGAGTGGCAGGCAGTTGTACAAGCTCTGAGCTGTTACTGGGTGATCCAGCACCAGCAGACCGGACCTCCTCTGGCAGTCGGTCCGACACAGTCACGTCTTCAAGAAACTGCCCTGTAGCAAGAAAAGAATCAGACAAGTCCTCTCTGTATTTCTTTGACTGGGCCCTTGTAACAACACAAGCAAGAAAGATTTCGGGAGATACTTCAGCTGATTTCTCTGCGTCTAAACTTAGATCAGGAGAATCAATGACCTCAGGTACTGGCTCAACTTTGCCCCCAGCCAAGTCATTACTGAGGATGAAATCAACACCTTTGATGGGCAAGGCAGGGAGGACAGCTACTTTAAAGAATCCTTTTACAAGAGATGAGTGAATATAAACATTGTGCAAAGGAGCCGCAACTAGTGTCATGCCTACCCCTTGAACAACAGCACTTGATCCACATGATGATCTGGAGGTTAAAGGTAAGATGCCTTCTCTAATAATGGACTGAGAACCTCCTGTGTCCCTAAGTACCTGTACTGGCAGCTGGTCTTTAGGATCCCCTGTTAAAGAAACAAAGCCCTTGGAAATAAAGGGTTTGAAACAGGGATCAGGTACATCATCTTCCAGGGACATTTCTATGTCTGATAGGGAAACTCCTTTAATGAGTCCCATGCCTTTTGGTGAGCAGTATGTGCTGCATACTGCTCACCACCTGCCAGAACATATATTTTACAGCAAGTTGACACACACACACATACTCACCCACTCACACATGGTCGACTTTGATGTGTTATCACTTTCCATCACAGTGTGTGTGATGGATGAAAGGGTCAGTGCAGCGAGAACATTCACCTCAGATCAGATCTTTATGAGCCAAATCGACTCAAACCTCGACATACGCTGCTGAGTGATGTACCCTGAAGTACCAGTCTTTCTGTCTGTGTGTGTGTGTGTGTGTGTGTGTGTGTGTGTGTGTGTGTGTGTGTGTGTGTGTGTGTGTGTGTGTGTGTGTGTGTGTGTGTGTGTGTGTGTGTGTGTGTGTGTGTGTGTATATGAGATGTGACTGTGCATGCTTGGCTGTATGTTCACCAAACACCAGGCATCATGTCTGCACTAATGTTCCCTAATGGAAGTCATAATGTCAGACATTACTTCTTACCTCATGCAGTCCGACTCAGCTGTCGGCACTCAGACATTGGTCCAGGTTAATAGTTCAGACTCTTTGATGTTTGCTCATATCTGACGTGTCCTGTTAGAGATATGAACATGATGAAAATCATATGTGCAGAGGAAGAAGATCTACTATCAGGAGAAAATGAGGGCCCCTTTATCTGAACAAAAACATGACCAGGAAGGAAGTGGAAGAAAAAGGTTGAAGATGGAGAAGTAGGAAGAAGGAATGGAACATGTATCCTGCCTTTAAGTCATTGTCATAACATCTGCAGATTGAAGAAGGATCAATAGTGTAAGAGGTCAATGGGAACCAATTGTTTCCAACCCTGATCTGAAGATGATAGGGTCGCCCCCAAGAAGACACTTTTGTGTTTGAAATGTCCATGGTTTTTTAACCACTTTATTGCTACTTATTAAGAAGACATAAAATATCGAATAGGCATATTTTCATAACAAGCATTTTGACTTTTCATAGCAGAACACTATAAAATGTTCCTATTAGAGATCTCGATTAGATGAGAAAATGAATTACAAATTCAGTAGGGGCACTGAATTTGGTTTATTTACTATTTATCAGACCAGAAATGAGAAAAATGTAAGCTAGCTGGAGCATCCTGAGGTCACTCAGCCTAACGTCCCGCCGCTAGGAGACTACTTCCCCTTCTCTAGCAAATCTAAAAACAGATATGGAGATTTATATCAAACATTTACAAATCTGATTACGCCTACACAGATCAAAATACAGTATCACAATTATCTACACACATTTACAGATAGTTGTTCTACAATAATGGCTCTACACTGAGTTTAAAGTGAAAACTAACAGTTAGTCAGAGACTAACACACGCCTCACAGACAAAGTGGTTTTATACAAGAATTGGGAAAATATAAACCCCCTTGATCCCACACAAACGCAACAAAAAACAGACCATCAGTGCAGATCAAACAAATCTCTCTGGACGTGTCCTCCCCCCATAGCAGTCCCCCCGGGGATGTGGAACTGACGGGGAGGAATATAAGGGCGGAAACTCTCGTCCCATGACCACACACACACTTCCTCCCCAAGGACTGTTAAGTCCCAGCAGGCAGTTGTTTATTTTCCCACAACAAGTAAGGGATAGCCTTGCAGAAGCAATTCTTAATGAGGATGATCCTCAGGGGGATGTTCAGTGAAAATAATGCAACATGACATTTGTTGCACGTATGAGACCTGAGCTGTTTTTGGCTTCAACTCCCATCCAAAAGATGTGACCCCTCTTTTTGTTCTCACACTTACATATTCCGACACCCAGAGGCAGACTCATCCGAGTGCACAGGTCAAACCAACATGGGAACACACTCATTGTTACAGTAACTTGCGTATGTGTGTGTCTCCTTCTTCCAGGTGACATGGAGGAGTTCGAGGCTCTGTGGCTGACGGGCATCTGCCACAATGAGAAGAACGAGGTGATGAGCAGCCAGCTGGACGTGGACAACATGGCGGGCGTCTTCTACATGCTCGGGGCTGCCATGATTCTGTCATTACTCACTTTCATCTGTGAACATTGGTTCTACTGGCAGCTGCGTTTCTGCTTCATGGGCGTGTGCACGGGACAGCCCGCGGCCACCTTCACCATTAGCAGAGTGAGTGTGTTTTATTTTGGGTTTGACCTTTGTCCTCCTCACAGAAAGATCACAGCAGTGGTTGTTTTCAAACCACTGGCTGTGGTTGAGGTGTATTGAGTCAGTCAGCAGGATACAATGACTCACCTGACTTAACCTGTGGCTTTTTTAGCCCAGGCAGGCAGTTGTTAAACAACAGAACACAAGTCAACAGCTAACTGTGCTAACGCAACCTGACATTTTACATTTTTTTAAACACACTACAAGTCAGAGGAGCATCCTATTACAATAAGAAGCAGATACAAAAAGCATCATTGCTCTTAAAGACATTGCCTACTGATATGCTGATTGACAGTGAGACCAACCAGCATTATTATGCAACAATCACTTAGACTCCAGTCTTTGACAGGGTTAAAAAATCGTGCAGTCTTTGTGAAGAGTCCATAATTAATTGACTTAATGTTGCTGAAATAAAAGCTACTTACTATGCTGCTCATTCTCAGCCGGTGACCTGAAGCTGTGTTTGTGGATGTCGAAGATCTCCTCTCGGCATGGTTACGACTCTGCTCAGATGGGTCACTAAACAACGCGTCTCAGTGTTATTGATGCAGGCTGCTTAGGGCCATATAAATAACCACTTGAGGTGTAATTAATTTGCATAATGCTACCTTTTAAGAAAGAGGGAGAGGGGTGGTGTGTTTGTTGTCAAATTAAAATTGTCTCAGTTATTGTTTGCCTGAGAAAAGGGCAACCAGTTTTATGTGTTTGGTGTTTGTAATTGTAATGTAATTTGGTTTACACCAACTCAAACTAACCTGAGGCAATTTAAAACACAGATGTGGCCTCGAGCACTTCACAAACACACAATCATTTGTCTGTCTTTGTTGAATTGGACAAATGTCTTTGTGTTTCCTTCAGAAACTCTATTTTTATGCAAATCAAAAGCACTACTTCTTGCGTTGATCCGCGACAGTTTACTCTTACAGTAGCTCTTACTTGCAGGAGGCTGATTTCGCTTGTTGCATTACAACATCCATTTTAAGTGCATACACCTTTCAGAAGGTGCTTCTGCATTTTATAAATTTCCATGCCTGGTTAAACACACGGTGTGGGATTTAAACATCTTTTTCATCATATACAGTTTATTGAAAGTGTAAGGATGGACATGTGATGAAAGTACAAAGGGCTAATAAAACACAGAGGAAGAAAGAGAGATCAGTTAGCGAGGGTCATGATAAAGACTAAAACGGGTGCCAGGACAAAGGCAGAGTATAGAAAAGAACAGACACAGTTCTGGTACCTTTCCCAGGAGCTGTAGTAGCTATAGATGCAGAGAGATAAAGACAGACAATCCCATTGGAGTGGCTGCCGCTCACCCGAGCACCCGGAAACGGAGATAAAACAGACACAAAGAGAGAAAGGAGGCATGAGAGAAAAGAGGGTTGAAGATTCAGATTCATGAATGTGGCTTAGTGACAGGGAAAGTGACTAAGAGACAGACAGAAACAGTTTCTGACAAGTTGACGCCTTTGAGGAGCGTTGGCCCGCATGCTGGCTGGTGGGTAGCATGTCCTCGACCTTTCGGATTTGGCTGTCGCATCAACCACAGATTCCCTCAGCCACATTTTAAGCACGCTTGTTTGACTTCACCCGCAAAAGGCTTTCCCCTCTCTCGAAAATCCTACTTACCAATAAACCAAAAAAATACAGCAATGTCAAATCACTCCATTACAAGTAAAAGTACATAAATATTACCAGCAAAATCTAGGTAAAGTATTAAAAAGGAGATGATTGATGGGAGAGGAATCTTTTGTGAGATAATCGATCACTTGAAATGAAACCATGTGAGAAGTCAAGAGAGAAAATCGATATTTGGAAATACATCAACGTACCGAATGTACTTAGGAAATTACTATTCATAGTTACTTTTCTAGATGGCTTGACATTTATAGGACATTTAACAAAACCTTTACAAAATGATTATTTCCTTGACAGTGTAAAAGGAAAAAGAGTAAAACAATACTGCGGCAGAGAGCCTGTAGCACAACTGCATTTAAATGACATTGATTAAAACTATTGATTGGCAGTCAAACGCCTCAGCTTTGATCGGCTCCCTCCCTTCTCTGTGTCTGAGGGTCCACACTGCTCTCTGGAGAAAAGTCATTTATTAACTCAGCCCCTATTACTGTTTAATAGTGTGTAAACAAGAGGGTGGTCAGGGAGAACATGGCAATGCATTAACCTCTCTCTACCTCTCGCTCTCTCTGTTTCCCTCTCTCTTGTTTTCTTTCTCTCTCCCTCTCAATATGCATCTGCTGTTTGACTCCCTCTCTCTTACTTTTAACCCCCTTTGTTACCTGATTCCATTTGACACATTTTACTGTAGTTTTCTTCTTTATTGGGCTTTGTGCTTCTTACTTCCTCCCATGACCTGTCTCACCCTGTCTTTCTCTCTCTGCTTCCCTTTTCTTATAATTTCCCCCCTCCAGGGTATCTGGAGCTGCATCCATGGGGTACAAATTGAGGAAAACAAGTCAACCATTGACTCGCCCTCGGCCACCATGAAGAAGAACATGAACAACACCCACTCCAACATCCTGCGGCTGCTCCGCACGGCTAAGGACATGACTGCCGTCCCGGGCGTTAACGGCTCTCCGCACCCGGCGCTGGAGTACAGCCACAGCGCGCGTGAATCGACTATCTATGATATCCAGGAGCACCGGCGCAGCTTGGTAGGTCACCCTGCCGACTGCAAGACAGCGCCTCCCTACCTGCCAGAGGACAACATGTTCAGTGACTACATCAGCGAGGTGGAGAGGACTTTTGGGAACTTGCCCCTGAAGGACAGCAACCTGTACCAGGACCATTACCTGCACCACCACCCGGCCTCGGCTCTGGGTATGTCCGGCCCCGTGCCCAACAGGCCGCGTAGCTTAGGCAGCACTAGCTCGTTGGAAGGTGGCATGTTTGATTGCGACAGTTTAGGGGGAGGGGTAGCGCCCATCTTCACCACCCAGCCCCGCCCCTCCATGACTCACAGGAATACCAATAAGTTTGACCTGATTGCCGGCCACGCCCCTGCAGACTCCGACCAGGGTGGGTTCAAGGGGAACAATGTGTACGGGAGGTTTTCTTTCAAAGGAGGCGCATCCAGCACGGGGCTCATCGGGGGTCATGACCGGTACTGTGGTGGGGGTGGGGCAGGCTCAGGGGGGGATGATGGGAACATTCGCTCAGACGTTTCGGATATCTCAACGCACACTGTCACCTACGGCAACCTGGAGGGCAACAACAAGCGGCGTAAGCAGTACAGGGACAGCCTGAAAAAGAGGCCAGCTTCGGCCAAGTGCAGACGGGAGCAGGACGAGATAGAGCTGAGCGGCCTCAGGAGGAGAGCCCACCACCACACCGTCCACCACCACTTCCCCCACGGGCCTCAGGCACACCGCACGGTCTCACCTCCCCTGGAGCGGAAGAGGGGAGGAGGAGGGGGTAATTCTTCACCTTTCGTATTCCGCAAAGAAAAGGAGGACCTGAGGGATTTCTATGCGGACCAGTTCCGCTCCAAGGAGGGCAAGGCCCAGTGGGAGCACGAGGGTGGAAGTGGAGGAAGCGGTGTGGGCGGTGGTAGTGGTGGTGGTATCTGTAAGAGCTTAGTTCCTGTAGAAGACTTCCTCAAAGGTAAAGGCAAGAAGCCGGAGTGTAAAGGTGGGCTCGGCACAGTGTCGGCAGGGCAGCAGGCCCACACCTGCTGGGAGAAGGGGGTCTCTGGGCTAGGAGGGGGGGGCATAGCAGGGGGTGACTGGGAGTGTCGTAATAGCCACAATGTGTGTCACCACGGAGGGGGTGGCGCTTGCCCGGCTAACGGGGTTGGGGGGAGCAGCAGTCGCCCCAGCTCCGCTAGCTGCAAACGCGGCGACTCCTGTAAGGTCCCGCCGGGAAACCTTTACAACATCAGCGAGGACAACAACATGGTGTTCGCTGCAGGGAAGAGTAGTGTGGGACCGGCCCAACCTCAAACTCAGGCGCAGCGCAGGAAGCTAGGGCCAGGGGGGAGGGTGTTACGGAGGCAGCACTCGTATGACACATTTGTGGACCTGCAGAGGGAGGGGGCGGGTCGCATGGGAGGGGTTGGCAAAGGCGTTGGGGGGCCTTATGCCCAGCCCCGGAGTGTGAGCTTAAAAGACAAAGATCGCTCCATGGAGGGCCCCAGCCCTTACGCTCACATGTTTGAGAGGCATGCAGGGGAGAGGGAGTCCTCCATGTTCGGAGGAATAGGCGGAGATAGGGCGAAGGGAGGCTCCTCCTTCAGCTTGTTCCGAGAAGGTGGGTTGCATCAGCGGTCGGTGGGGGAGAGAGACCTGAGGGACAGAGATAGAGCTATTTCAGGAGGTGGTGGTGGTGGCAGCAGAGGGGCCGGGACTTACTCCTTGTCTAAATCTCTCTACCCAGATAAGGTGAACCAGAACCCCTTCATCCCAACCTTCGACGACGACCAGTGTCTATTACACGGCGGCAAACCGTACTACATCAAAAAGCCACAGACGCAGCAACAGCAGCAGCAACTTCTCAACAACAGCCGGGGAGGAGGGGACTTCCGCGGCTCCATGGGAACGACTTCCTATTTGCCCGCGTCCGCCACAGCTGGGGTGATGTCCAATGTGGCCCCCAGGTTCCCCAACGATTTGTGTCTGGGCGGGGTAGGGGGGCCCATGGGGAACCACCACGGGGCCAGCAAGCTAATGCCTGTGGCCAGGGACACTTTGGGTTTGGGGCCGGGGCATAGACCCTTCAACGGTGCCAGCAATGGACACGTTTATGAAAAGCTCTCCAGCATTGAGTCAGACGTCTGAGGGTGAGGCAGAAAGAGAGGGAGAAGATGAAGTGGGTGAAGAAAAGAGGGGGAGAAACACACAGATGCTGATGACCTCTCTGTGTGAGGATGAGGAGACACTATACTGTGTGTGTTGTTCTCCGATAAATGGGAATGTAATTTGGACGATGCACAGAGGCCGCTGCAGGCTAAGCTGTGAAGTCCGGCGGGAGACAAGTTTTTAATGAGAAGAGAGGATTCTGGTGCTGCTCCAACGCTCAGAACGGTTGGGAGGGAGGGGGAAAAGTGAAATCAAATCTCCAGTCTCTGCTCTCTTCACGTGCTCATTGTCTTTCCCTCCTTCCTGCAGTTCCTTAACGCCAAAACAAACATTTTGTTTGACAGAAATACAATCATGAATGAGAAATCAGCGCTTCTGTTGAAGTAACAGGGTAAACTAATAATAATTGTATTGATAATGTTGATAATATTATTGAATATTATTCCAGTGTTTAATGATGATCGGTTTGGATTGTTTTTTCAATTTTATTGATTTAAATAGTTCATGTTACATATTTGTATGATGTTAATTATTTCTTAGCTTACCAATGTTACGGCATTGGTAGACCTTTTTTGGGTTCCTGTAATTTGGACTCTTCTTTGCTATTTATTCTTCATGTTTGATTTTCTTTTTTACTTTTCTTACTCTTGAGTGCTGTGAAGTGTATGTGAAAGGCATGACTTGCTGAGTACATTCTATGTACTTATACATTTGCAAAGAAGGTCTTTTTTTCAGCTGCAGAAGCAACATCATCATACTGATTTGCCGTTTCCTCTCCTTTTTTCTGCTCGGCAGTACCAAATGGGTCTCACATTTTGAGCTGGACGTGCCTTAAAGGATAACTACTGATTTTGTACACACAAGGTCTGTTCTGTTGGTAGACAGATCCACCTGCAAACAATTAGTCAAATTAATTTAAGTGTGAAAATACACCTGAAGAAGTCTGATGAGGGTTTCATAAGCATAACAGACTTTTAGGCATTTGACAGATGTAATAAAGCAGCATTTGCCGCCGTAGAGGAAGCTTAAATTCCTGCATTTATCCCAAACAATAGCAGGATTACAAGGGTTAAAACCACAGTGCCATAATAAACAAAACATTCCTGTTTTCCCCAAAAGTCAGCTACGACAGAGCCGCTGCATGAGAAAAAATACGAGTTGAAAATAAAGGGGGCTTCTTTTTCTATTATCTCCACCATTCAACTAAGTCCTTGAATTACAAAGAAGTTCAACTAGCTTCATCACTCCTCATCTCCTCAGTTCACAACTGGGACCCAGGATCCAACTGTCCATTAAAAACATGTAAATCACATTTAATATCCTCTTGTTGCTCTCATCACGTCTGACTTGGTCCAACTCAATCGGCCGTGACAGTTTGCTGCTCAGGACAGGCACATAATGGACTCAGAGCGAGGCCTCTGTTGCTGCGATGAGCTGCAGTAATGTTAATTATTTCACGATTACAGCTCTAAGCCCTGCCTGCTGTATTAGATGGTCCCATCTGAATAATGAGGTGGGAACAAGTCCACTCTGCTGGTGTAAAAGACCACAGGAAACTGGTACCTAATCCCAAATGATCTCTTGATTTATTCTTGCAATTACTCATAAATAAGTAATTCTACCTTTTAAAATGGGGGGTTTTGGTACATGCAACTGTGCTCCCTATGATGCTACTTAATAGTTTTCCCCTGATAATTTGACATTTTGGGGAATGCACTGATCTGTTTGATTGCCAAGCTTTTAATGAGAAAATCTAAACCAATCTCTTATAATGCAACACCCAGCAGTCAGTAAGCTTATCTTAGCATAAGGACTGGAAACAGAGGGAAACAGCTAGCCTAGCTCTTTCCCACAAAACAGCATCCACCAACCATTGCCTTAAAGGTTATTATTTAAGGTCCAGTGTGTAGGTTTTGGTGGCATCTAGCAGATAAAGAGCTTCGGAGAAGCACAGTGGCCTTCAGGTAATATCAAAAAGGTAAAAGGCCCTCTCTACAGTTTAGTTTGTCCGTTCAAGCTTTTTTGAAACATGGCAGATGCTGAAACAGCTCAGCTACCTAGATACCAAGGGCTCATTAAAAAGTAACGAAGACACAACTATTCTTAGTTTCAGGTCCTTTTACACTAATTAAACATAGGTAGGTATAAACATTATATATTACTTTTCTCTCTGGTCTTTTAACTGGATATATCTTTTTGCTTTAATCCATACAAAAACTGAAGTGTAACGATGATATCATCATCATCAGCTTTATTTAAAGAGACTCTTGGTCCATTATGTCGGAGGCTGTGGGACTTCCTCAAAGTTACCGGTAAAGGAATAGTCCACAAAACCACAACTTGTTTGATGCTTTTGTTTGAGTTATTTACAGATTAAACATAGGAGATATAAAGAGCTAGTGTATAATTGGGAAGGTGTGATGTGTTCCCCCTGTTTCCAGTCTTTCTGGAAAACTGTGGGTTTTTCTCCGGAAGTTTTTCCTTGTACGATGTGAGGGTCTAAGGATAGAGGGTGTCGTTTTTTCTCATACTGATATTCTGAACAATCTGTGCTATTGTATTACACTGTAGCTGTAAAGTGTCTCTACTGTAGGCTATTTTTATTATATACAGCACTTTGGCTCGACCAAAAATCGTTTATAAATGTGCTATATAAATAAAACTTGATTTGATTTGATTCTAAGAAGCTACGCTAACAGGCCACTGCTCCTGAATTATTATTTTAAAAACTAATATTTGATGAGTGATATCGATCTCAGCTATCTCAACAAAGAAATACACTGTATTGACTTTTTCTTACATTTCGAAAAGATAACCTGGATAATATAAGACTTTCATCATATTATCCCTTTCATCATTTCTCCCAGCGTGTAGCTGAAACTCACATTCAACAGAACATAAAGAATAATTTCACAATGTTCTGTAACACTGATTTCTCCCCCCGCCGGACCATAATCTGTTTCACATGCTGAGATTTTAATGAAGGAAATCATTTGCCCTCAAGTCCTCTGGGATCCTGTGTGAATTGTGTCAGATGCAGACGCGAGGAGAAAAAAAGAAAGAGGAAGGCAGCAGAAAGTGAAGCAGGTGGCACATTTAGTAAAGCATCACCTTTCTAACTGATGTTGTTTCATGATCAAATGGCGGCTCCCAAATTCACAACATCAAAGGTCATCTCTGCTTTGAAACTGACAAATAGTAAGATTTGGTTTAAGCCTTTCTCCACCATTAAATATTATCAATCACAATTTTAAACTTCTATTCCCCACTCTCAGTTATTTATTGTCGGATAAACCAGACATTTAGTCACCCAAATTTAGAAACCTAAGCACAATCTGACTGGATATATTGTTTGTTGAACATCCCAGTCTAAACTTTAGAAGACTTTCCTTCTCTAGGTTGACAAGTCAGTATGTATGATACTAGGGGGGTCTCTAGTGTTTGTGAGGACTTGCATGTATACACTTTTCTTTATTTCTATTTTTTAATCTTAACTTTTAGCCCAGAAAAATGGGTGTTTTTGAACAATATTTGGAATTGTTATCAATTTCATTGGTACTGATGATCCATGTAGTACTGTAGGTGTGTGTGCGTGCGTGTTTGTGCAAGATAAGACACCAATCTCAACAGTCAAAGTTTTTAGTTATACTTTAATACAAATTGCTAAATTAAGTCAAGATTACACTAGAAATTATATTTATAAATCTTCTACAAGGATCGATTTTCTTGCTAGTTGGTGTAAATGCTTTTAACAAGGTTGAGGTCTTGATTAATCCATCGTCACTGAAGAAGCCTTTTCATCATTTCAACTACTTTCCTGGTATTTTCCTTTGAATATCATAAATTCCGTTGTTGTATGTGCCTGAATACATACGCTTAATGACCTCTGTGTGTGCTCATATGGGAGAGAGACAGAGTGTGTGTGAGAGATAACTGTTCATTATTGTACATGTAAAACTATATGTAAATACTTTACCTCACGCTCATGGACTTTTGATAAAAACTGTACAAAAATGGCAATGAATAGATCTATTTGGGATAAATCTTTGATTCGTCGGTCCCCACGCAAAACTGCTTTTGTAATGACTTCAGGCCAGGATACGTGCAATCGTTTATTGTGCACATTTAATGCGTCATGGTTTGTTAATGTGATTTTATTTCTGATTTGGTTTGGTCAAAGACCAGCTAAGAAGGTTGTTTTCTCAACGCACCATTACTAAGTGTCCCACAGAAAGCACAATCGAAAATGTATTGCATTTTTACTGAGGTGTTCTTTTTTCTTTCCTCTTTGGCTAATCTTCTGTTTTTGTGTTTCTGTGCCACAGAAGAATCGAACAACTCCACCCCTGAACTGTACAGATTGTGAAAAATGTACATAGGACAAAAATCTAGTTCGAATTCACATTTTTTTGTATGGAGAGAAATTACTTGTGTGAAGAGAGTATTTCAAATTTGATTGAATATTTAGTAATATTGAAAATGAGATTAAACGCAGTCAATGTGAAAATAAGTGCTGAGAAATATTATTCTTTTGTCTCTTTGGAATAAAAGTGTTGAGTATTAATAAAAAATAAGAAATCTCAAATTGATTTGTCTTGGTTTTATCATTTGTTGCGTTATAAGAATACAATATACCGGTATTGACCGTGACGTTTTTTTAAATGATATCAACCCACCTCTTGGATAAATGTATTTATACTTATCTCTCCATCTCCCTAAAACATGAACCACAAAAAACACATTTATTGTAATTGTATTGACCGATACCACTATTATGTCTTTCGAATTATGTATTGCAATAATCTATGTTCAATTCCCATTTCCCTTAATTAGAATTCACTGAAATTGTGATAGTCCACAGGTTGGCAGCAAGCAACAGTTATATCTTTCATGTGTGTCTTATATTTGACATTTAAATGTACTGTTTACATGTTCTTATTATGTTCCATGCTGTAGGTTGACAGAGGAGATAATGGCTGCAGCTGAGTGTCGTTCTCATGTTGGATAAGTGCTTTGTAGACCAAAGAGAAAATAAATGAAGAGTCCTGAGAATAAAAAGGTGGAGCGAGAGGCAGAAGAAGAAAGAGAGAGATATTGAGGGAGGAAGAAGTGATGCAAACTGAACCAGCAGCAGAGATCAAAGCCCCCCAAAAAAACTCCCTCCTCAGACTCTCTTTACTCTGAAAGCCTTGTCCAGCAACAGGAGTTATTTAAAGAAAGCTGCAGGATTCAAAATGTACTGATGCCTTGTGTGTTTATAGATTTGGTGGGAGAGTTTTAACATCTGCGGTCCGGGAGGCTGAATCAAAACAAGGTGAGGCGGTAGAAAATATCCTTTAATCAGTTTGTAATCTGCTTCTTAAAAAATAAAAATCTGTACTATTTTCTCCATATTCCTGCTTTACTCCTTACACCGCCCCAACAACCTCAGCGTGCATTGCAACACATGTAACTACTTCTTGACAATTAACTGTTACCTAGCAACTGGCTCTTTTTCCAGAGATGGGCAGGGGGGGGAAAGAGAGACGGCGAGATAGATTTATACAGTATTCCCACAGCATCTTAACTGGATTGGATGCAACAATGCATCGACAAAACAATACCAAAATGGAAAGTACAGCCTGAGCTTATAACGCCCACACACAGTAGCAGAGGAGAGAAGTAGAGGCGGAGGGACGGGAGGGGGATAGATGTACAGATTAGAGTTTGGTAGGGGTAGATGAAACCCATGTAGAGGAACAGACCGACAGCAAATGTGCAACAGATGCAAGTTAAAAACGTGAGAAACATGCTGCAGTCTGTGGTGGAGAAGACAAGAGGAGGAAAGAAACTGGTTGCTGCAGAAACACACTGCAAAGTTTTAATGAAGGCATAAAGTTTGATGCCTGTGCCCACAACACACACACACACACACAAGATCACCATACACAAACAAACAGTATAATTATGTTAGCAGATAATAGGCACCCCCTGCTGGGCCCGTGAGGACCGCTCCTGACTCCTGAGAGAAAAAACAAAAGATCAAGCCTCCGATAATCAGCTGTAATTCCATGTTATGGCAGCAGGAGAGCACTGACACCCTGTGGCAACAACATGGCATCCTCTGGTTCCAGCATGTTGATGAGGACACGGTGCACCGGTACATTGCATTTATAAGTGCAGTTCAAGGCAGAGATAAAGTAAGCTCAGGGGTGAGAGATGCAACTGGAACATATTGTGTAAACTCAAGGATAGACACTCACAGGCAAAAAAAAAGACATTTTTAAATGTGTATTTTAATAACTTTTTCTATTTATTCCTGTAAACTTCTCCGACATTCAACAATTACTTGCTTCATTTGCACATTTATAAATAACATTTCTGAAAAAACTTGAAATGCCCCAAAAAACGTGTCTTAATGTAAGTCATTAACTGTTTTTTATATTCAGTTTCCCTTTTAGTCAAAGCACAGTGGTGAGAGATGCTTCTGGAAAGTCTTATTCAAAGTTAGGGTTTAGGACTACAACAAGTCCTGTCAGTATGTCACTGTAGCTTAAGAGTATGATGCATTAGGCATTAGAGTTAAAAGGGTGCTGTTATCAGTTTAGTACACGTCTAGGTTTTCGGGCTCACTAAAATCAGATTTTAAATCATAAAAGAAGAGTCTCCCTCTCCCCTCCCAAACTATGAAGAATGGAATGGAATCACACTCACTTGTCCCTCCCGACACCCTTACAGACAAGATGGGGGTAAATATAAAATAACAATTCTCACTGGTTTTAAGCGTCTCGTCTCGCCAAAATGTGTACCTGAACAGGTAACAACAGGAATAAGGTGAGTTCTGTTGTTAATTTAGCCTGTTGCCGAAAATGCCTTCAATCAATCAATCATATCATCATATTGCCTTTTGCTACCTAAGCAGTTTTTGGTGACTTCCGGTAAAAACTTGACGGTAAAAACAGTATTTTAAAATATTTTCTACATTTGAATTTCCATAATCACAAAAGTTACCGTAATTGACCATGCAATCTTTTTTTTTAAAGTATTTTATATAAAATAATCTATATTATACAATATATGCAGGAGTTGTTCTCTGTGTTAGTGTGCCAATCATTATGCTACAGTTATTTATTGACAAATGCAAACCAGAAAAAAAGTATGATCTTATAAGACAAGCAGTGAATATGTTTATGTCGTATTGTATATAAAAAGATCTCAGTATATATATGCAGGAGTTCTCAGTGTGTCAGTGTGTCTATCTCTCTCTGGATCAGCTTCACTCCCCCGCTCTTCACTCTCACCCGTCTCCTGCTCACCACCCGACTCCCCCTCGGTGGGGTCCTCGGGGTGTACTGGGCCAGGCTCGCGACCTCTCCTCTCAGGATCTGAGTTGCATGCGCCCGGTCGCCTCGCGCCCTCTCCTCCCCCTCCTCCCAGTAGCCGTGGCGACGGAGGAACGGTTCCAGGGTTGCTAGGCGATTCGAGAGCTCTGTAATGCGCCTGCGCAGTAGGGAGACTTCTCTGAACAGGTCGTTGACGGACTCGGACAGAGGGCGCACCCTACAGGACGAACAGGGGAGGTGATATGATATATTATACTTAAATATCTTGATACCAGTGTGTCGTGACAGGGTGGGTGATTAAAATATCTTGGGAGGATTATCAAAGCATTACAATACATTACTAACTCTGATTATTTTCTTCAGTATCACTCATAACATTAGCCTGGCTGAAGAGGGTTTAAACTGGGTATGGAGAAACCAGAGTAGCTAGATTTTTATAGTATGTTTATCCATCTGAAAAATTCACAGTCCGACCGTTAAGGCCTTCCAAAGCCACTCCTCTAAGAAACATATACTAATGCACAGTGTGTGGATGTTATAGCTAATGGTAGGCGACGTCTTCAAAGGCAGTTTTTGGATTCAAGGGGTATGGCTTTTCATCATAGGATTAATGAGTGTGACACTTGGCACCTGATTGGACTACTGAACTCACATGGTGACTTGTTTTTAAACTTTTCCTTTTTATATTATGTAAAAAGCTCAATAAAATGTGTTTCTACGTTTGTCATTACTTTTCCCTTAGACAATGGTTAGCGTAAAGTTTATTAGGAGTTTCCAGGGGCATCTCAACATCACGCACATTTTTTCTCAACATCACACACATTTTTTCTCAAAATCATGCAGATGAGTGGCCAACACAGTAGCCGCATTCACAACAAGTACTTTGCCGTACTTAGTTCCCAGCACTTAGTTCCCCTATGGAACTAAGAGCCGATCGCGTTCACACCGGAATAAGTTCCCTGAGGGAAGATTACGCAAATGAGCCGCTGACGTCACTTCGTCTTCTTCTGCTTTGTACTGGCAGGCCGCAAACAACTTCACGGCGTACTGCCACCCGAAGTCCCCGGCCGGAAGTCCCCGGAGTTGGGGACTGGCTTCAGTAGTCTACTAAAGCCTTCCGAGTAAATCGCCAGAACGCCGACACCTCCTCATCTCCACCGCTCCCATGTTTTCTTTTGTGTTGCCATAAGTTAGTCTCTCTGCGTTTGTGCGCTGGGCGAATTATAATGCTAATAATGCTAATGCGAGGATAATAAAATGGCGGCTTGACAAAACATTTCAGAGTTTTACGGGGCGTGGTTTGCAATTCGCCCAGCCAATCAGAACTGGGGCACTTTCCCCCCCCCAGGAGTGTACCCCCTCTCAGCAGGCACTAAAAATTGCGGTAAACGTTCCCGGCACTAAGTACTCTTTTTGGTGTGAACGCAACATAAGGGGTACTAACGGAACTAACGGGAAAAGTACTCCGGTGTGAACGCGCCTGCCAGTCTCTTGAATCGCACCAAAGTGCTACTTTCTGGATCTCAGTCTTTTTTAGCCATTATAGCCTACTTAAGATGAAGGATTTTAGTCATTGAATGCCTTGATCTTTAGATATTAGATAAACCAGCTGAGCAAACATTAGCAGCTCCCTTGTGAAACTGATTTATTCAGTGTTTTTACTGTTTTAAGTCACGGGGTCCTGAATCTTCCCTGGAATATACAATGAAGTGGAAATAAACAGCAATGACAGTAATGAGGGAGAAGACTCCCATGATCCCACTCTCCTTTACAACAGCACCAACTACTTTGCTTAATTTTTTAACTAAAGTGACCCCTAGAGGCCGAAAGTGTCACATTGTGTGTGTTTGACCTGGAGTTACCTGGAGTAGTCTGGCAGCAGTGTGCTGGGCTGAGAGTGCAGAAGAGTCTTGATCTCACGGAAGATGCGTTTTCCCCATGCGTCCAAAACTCTGGTCACACTGCGCACTGAGGCCACATTCACACTGTCGGCTGGAACCAAACCATCACACCCCATCATCAGGCTTCAATTTACAGTCCAAACAGCATGGCTGAATCATGAGTATCATAGGCACATGTGCTGAGAAATCATTTAAAGATCCAAATACCCCAACATTTTCATAATTCACATCTTCAATTATTCTACAGGCCTTGTATCACTACAATGTGAGGTAATCAAACGAGGCTCATGATTTACCGCCCTCTCTGTAGTTCCAGTACCCATAATCCAGTTCGTTCTCCTCGCTGGCTGCACGGGCCCCAGTTACCAAAGCAACCACCATGAGCAGCATCAACACAGAGGGAGGGGCCATGATGAGAAACTTCCCCCTTTGATAAGAAAGAGAGAAAAACAAACCTACAGGTCGTCTGTTGAACAGATACACTTCTTGACATTTTTTTTTCTCTTCTAATACAAAACACACACAGAAATAAATAATAGAAGTGATGAAACGCAGACACACTACTTGTGCTGTACAGCCAGAAAAATATCGGCAGCTAGCAGGTGTGCACACACATTGTAACCCGTGGTGGAGAGTGACATAATAGAATAAAAGGCAGCTGCATATATGGAGAAAAAACACATTACCCCCAACAAATTGCAACAAAATACAATAATACATTAAGAAACCTTTTGCTGCAATTATTTTGGGGGCAAACCATATTTGCAAGTACTTCTACTTTTTCATTTTATGCTACTTTATACTTTTTATCTTTCATATATTTTTTTCTGACCACATTGTTGACTTTGTAGATTAAGATTTAACATATAAAATGGGAAACATATGGTCAGTTTATGAAATGGCATGCATTTGATGGCTAAAGGCATTTTTTTTCCCGCTTTCTTGCAGCTAATGAATATACATTAACATTAACAGAATATTTTAACAACACTTCATAATTTATAGTTTTTGCTGCTTACTTCTACAAACTACCTTCATAGCATATTTGACACTGTGGTATTCTTCTCTTTTAAGAAAAGGGTTTGATACTTCTCCCTCAACTTGTACAGCTAGGTGTCTTTATTTATTTAAACATTCAAAACCATCCATAAATCAATTACAGATACCCTGTGCTTTTAACGAATAACAAAGAAATCCCTCAAAAGATTGCACTTACTCTGAAGTCCTTTAATCCTGTGACAGTCAGTCCTGTGCGTCTGTTAGAGGATGAACACAGTCTGATCTGAAAAACAAAGAGAGTGTTTTTACTCCATTCAACAACTCCAGGTGTGTGAGAGGAAAAACAAGAGAGGAGGTCGACCTCCTCATGCGACCCAGAAAAGATTTTTTTTTAAAAGGAAAAGCAGGATTGCATCCATATGACAGTCTTTGAATCACACTGGACAATAATACGTTGATGACTCATTGTTGAGGTATTATAAATGTTTTCAGAGAATATGAATTTGGGGGCTGATGAAAGGCGCTGAGAAAATCAGCCAGGCTATAATCTCACTTTTCACATCTGGACAAACACATAACTGAAAATCAAGCCGATAACATGTGTCCCTTCACTATGATGAGTGTGATGTGCTGAAAAATAGTAACTTTACAAACTAACAGTTCACTTGAAAAGCATCACAAGCTGGAGAGCAAATGAGCCGATACTCACGACTTTGAAATGATGATGATGCTTCAACTCTCAGCAGGAAGTCCTTCTCCAAAGTATTTTGAATACCATATGCTTCTGTCGCCTCTCCACTCTGACAATGCTCCGGTCTTTTCTTCTTATGTCTTCCCTTGTCTTTCTCTCTCGCCTATTTTCACCTCGGCTCTTTCCCCCCTCGCCTCCCAGCTGTGATATAATAAGTAGAGTGTGGCAGGTCCAACGCACAGGTTAAAAACTCCTCATTTGTAGAGAGCTGTCTTTTCTTTAAACTGCTACACACGCACAACTCCTACACTCTGAAACTTGGACACCAGCTGCTGCCAGATGTGTGGCACTTCCTCTTCTTTCAGATAAGTCTCATAATTGACCTCGTTTTCTCTTTTCTCTTCAGCCCTCTGTGGAACAGACAGGGATATGTGTCCAAGCCGTGATCTCACTCCGCTGCAGGATCCAGTTTCTCCTCAAATTTGAGTTATAGATCTTTTCCATCTATTCTCTGCTTCCTGTCGTCCAGCTCCTCTTCCATCAGCTCCAATAAAATGCTGCTTAAATCATTGACAATTATCGAAATATAATATACAGTGTATCTGAGAAGGGCTTCTTACTGTAAGAAAAATGTAGATCCCTTAGGTAGCTGTTACACATTACAAAAATATTATATAACTAGAAAAACAAGTATTTACAAGACATTTTAAAACTACTTTTAAGTTTCAAACGTTTGGTTGGACAAACAAGACATTTGAAGTTATGGCAAGTTTAGGTGGCGTTTCTTTTCAAATACTATATAATTTGGAGTTTAACCTATAAGAAACTACTGTTGAAAAATAAACGTAAAAAGTAAAACTTTCCCTCTGAATTGTGGTGGATCCGAGTATACTGTGTCAGCTTCTCAAAACTGCAGGTAACGTTCCTTTTTATTTAATTATAATAATGGTGGTAAATAATTGATTTACCACCATGTAAACATCAGGGAATATCAGACATTTAATGTACAATCATTTCAAATGTTCTTTCCAATGCAACACTCACAGTCTTTGATATGTACATATGTTTTGTTTTAAGATCTGCAGGTGCATAGATGTTTGTTTTGCTTAAATGATCTTTTATAAGCCCCAAGAAAGAGAGGAGATAGGCGTGCAGCAGACGGGATATGAAATGGAACAAATTATTCTCTATTGACTGGCATCCAGATGTTATTCCAGCTCTCTGTGTCTGTTTTCATGCTGCGGCTGTGGTGAGGTCAGAGTTGGCCACTAATGCAGCCAAGAAAGAAAATGGTAATAAAATCTAGTTACGAGTGAAGAAAGAAGGAGGCATAAATGAGGTAGTTGGGGTGAGAAAAACAGACAAACAATCAGAGTTCAAATATAATGATTACCACTGCAGTTCCACATGTGCACGCCTCTCCTGGCAGCCTCCGAGAGTTACTGCTGTGAAGAAGTCTCCACCAGCCGCCACATGGTTCACATTAACAACAGGCAGTTTGACATCTTCAGCTGAATTCCTCTTACACACACACACACACACACACACACACACACACACACACACACACACACACACACACACACACACACACACACACACACACACACACACACACACACACACACACACACAGGGACGCCCCTGGTCAACTTGGGGCCCCAAGCGACATTGTGAGATGAGGCCCCCCCCAACCGACAGGAGTGGGGAAAAAAATCCTGTTTATTATTATTATCAACACAGTTACTTTTTTATACAGTGAGGTAAATGGTAAATGTGCATGTATATCGTTCAGTATTCGTTTACAGGTGACTACGTCTGCATTTCCTGCCAAATACTAGCCTCAGAAAGATTAAAATATAATTAATGCAAATAAATTACTTTTACTAATAATCATAATCAATTCAATAATATAAATACTATATTATTTTATTATAATATAGTTGTAATATAGTCAAGATAAAACATGCTTATGACATGCTCAAAACTGATATTTCTTAAATCTGTATTCTAGTTCTCTCTGTCAGCAATGTATCAACAACTACACACACATTTCTATCAGTATTTCTCTGTGTTGTGGTTGACATGATGATGACTGTTAGCAGTTAAGGGGAGAGGCTGAGCATCACCATTAAATGTGCAAATTGACATAAAAATGAATAAAACGGGAACAAATTCTCCATGTTTTTTAGGCTGTAAACTTTAACTGTTATGTAAGCCAACTAGACAGACAGTGTATCACTCTTCCTCCTGTACATTAGCAGATAAAAGGCATAACATACTTGAATGAATGGTAAATAAAGAATGCTGGAAATAACTGCATCTCCATTAGCCTATAGCCCAGGGGTACTCAAATACAAATCTTAAAGGTCCAAAATAAATGTTTCAATAAGACAAAGGTCCGTTTATTACGGTCATTCAAACTTTTAAATAATTGCAACAAGATTCTTAACACGAGGTTGCAAAAACTAAAATAATCTGTATGCAGCAATTTTCATTGTTATTGTGTCTGTGCTTGACCCCTCAGAGTCGCAGTGTAAGAGCTGCACAGTTATGAATAAAGGCAGCTGCACCCTCTTTCATTCAGCATTCCCATTAGTGCTTTATAAATGTATTCCCCCTTGTGTGTCCACTGAGGTTCGTCAGGCCCAACACATCTTCAACAAACTCCCCCTTTGCCTCATCATAAAAACTCACAAACACCAGCAACTGAGCATTGTCAGTGGTGTCAGTGGACTCACCCACAGCTAAGGAAAGGCACTGTGCATTTGTTATTCCATCACAAAGCTGATGAATCAAATCACCAGCCAGTATTTATGTTCTTCTGGTTGCTGTGGAATCTGAGAGGGGGATTTGCTTGATTTGACCTGTTATTTCCTCTTTTTGTTTGCCTTCAACATGGTCTCCATCACTTCAGTCATGCATTCTTTTATACTGCAGTTATTATCCAGTGGAAAGTCCTTACCTACTGGCCTAGTTCAATCAAAGTGGTTACTTTTTTTTGGCTGGGCAGTGTAGTTTTACACACCGTCTTATTTGACTTTCTCAGGACTTAAAACTGTTTTTTGGGGGCAGACCCCCTCAAAGAAAAATATATATTTACACACGTAAGGTCATCATCTTAATAGTTGTGTATGCTCATCCGTGAGCAGAGCATCAAGTTGACATGTCTATTACAGCTGAATGCGGCGATTACCATTTTGTTCAGCAAAACGCCTCACAAACGTATTAAGATCAACAGCTTTAGTGCGTTTTGATTCAATGCTGAGTACAGCCAAACTGACAGTCTCTTCTCTGTCATTGTAGACCGCAAATACCTCATTCCTTCAGTGCTTGGGTCCGAATGCTTCTCGTTTTGCGCCGTCCAGTTCAAAATGAAATCGCCGCCAATCGTATGTCCACGCTCGCGCCAGGACCGGGGGACGTGCATGACGTGCATCTTGTGCTGCATTCACTTGCACTCGGACATAAGAGACTTTCTCTCATAAATGTCCGATGAGCCACAACTTTTCTTTCAAAACAAAGCTGCCAACTGGGGTGGCAAGGCCAATTTTTAGGGTGTCAGTTGTCACCCCGGTAGGTGAAACTAGGCTACTAGCTACAGTACAGATGGAACTAGATGAGCTGTTAACTCTCGCTCTGAATTTTTTTTTTTTTAATTCTCGCTCTGACTTAGACAGGTTGAAAGAGACACACAAATTGTTCCCACCCGCATTCCGCGAAGACCCGCCTACTGTGCCTCTGATTCGCAGATTGTTTGGGGGAAAAAAACGCTGACTGGATGCTGAATGTGATTGGACCAAAGCGTTGACACACACAGGTGGAACACAGTGGAACAGTCAGACATGCAGAGCGCTGTTTGCAGTGGACATAGCGGAGAATTTTGACTCGTTGCGAATGCGTTGTGGCGATGTCTCACATATAATACAGAGAGATAATACATATGAAAAGTATAATTTGCTCAGAGTCCGGAGACAGTGGTGGTTCGGTCCGGATCCGGACCGGAGTCCGTAGTTTGAGGATGCCTGTTATAGCCTATGCTCTGCAGAGACTGCCTTCTTCATGTCGTGAATTGCAGCTGATGTTTTAATATGGCAATTGGCAATTTGACTTATACAACATTCGTAAGTTGTACATTTGACTCATACAATAACCCACCTTCGAGTGATGCTCTAGTTTCTTCATGTTTTGTGCGCCGGACTGAAACTGTCTTTTCACCGACATCTCTTCACCTGCACTAGTGGCCGTATCAAAGCCGTGATTGGTCAGATGTGGATTCATTGCAACGGTGTCGGGTTACAGACGTGCTCCCCTTGTCACCTCTCACTCTCGCGGGGGTGCACGGAGAACTGAGCGGAGAACTGCGCACAGCAGCTGAGGCCCTCTGGGCGGGGCCCCCTGCGCAAGGCGGGGCCCCATGCAGCCTGCGTGATTGGCCTGTAGGGAGGGGCGGCCCTGCACACACACACACACACCAGGGTTTCTGCTAGGATTTTTTCTTGCCGGTCAAATTTCCGGAAAGAATTTATTTTACCGGACAAATTTGAAACTTACCGGTCATGTTTCAATAATAATAAGAATTAAAAGTGCGGTCGCACTTGTGCGCACAGTGATGAGCGGGCCCTCGCGTCCGTGCGCCTGTCGGGGAGGGCAGCCGGTCGTCCCGGCGTCAAGCAGACGCGCGCGAGTCCTGGGAAATGATTCGTTTCTCATTTCTATAATTTTCGCGTCCCAGACTCCGAGGTCCTCCGGCAGCGACCCGGAAACGGATGTCGCCGCGCCGTCTCGAAGGAAAACAAATTTCTCTAAAGGGTCGTCGAGGATCGATTATCGAGGAGGCTGTCTGGAGGAGCCGTAACGGAGGATACACTGATTTAGAGGAGAGAGGAGTCTCTCTGGAGGAGCTATAACCGAGGGCACACTGATGCAGAGGAGAGAGGAGTCTCTCTGGAGGAGCTATAGCCGAGGGTACAAAGATGTAGAGGAGAGAGGAGTGTCTCTGGAGGAGCTATAACCGAGGGTACACTGAAGTATTCTCCAGAGCAGTGATGTTTAAAAGAGGCGTGACGCATGGCTGGACTTTTGTCAACGAAGCACAGCTCTGCAAACTGTTCCCGTTGTGATTATAAGTTATTCAAGATGATGAAATGTAAATCAGACTTTCCGCCCTTTACCGTTTGTTTACTCACTAATCACATCTCCCCTGGATGTTAGGCTATTTATTTTTAATACAACCGCTTTCATTGTGACGCGATGTTTACAGTGAGAACATCAATAATATATGTAACAGGCCTATTACACACTTTATTTGTATGCTTTAGTAGATATCTACAAGTAAACAGTAGATATTTTTCATGAAACCATATAGTGCTTCACATAATAAAATATACAAGGGCTGTAGCCTGATCTACATTATATGCTTTAGGAGCTGTATGTGTGTGTTGTACAGTCAGTAAGTGTCTGT